TTTTTTATTGATAACAAACAGTTATAGACATCATACATTCTCTCTGGGGAATAAATTGAATAATAGAGAAAAACTATTCATAAGTTACCCACAGGGGTAAGTAGCACTTTTACTATTTGGGTGAATGAATTTTTAATTTTTAATAGTTATTATGAATATAGAGTTGTATACTTTGCTTTTAAAAACAATTTATCATTAACACTTGACTTTTCTAAAAGCATTCTCTCTAAAATCTAAAACATGTTCTTGGCTCAATAGCCTACGGGTCATTTTGACTCCCTCCATAGACTGTGCCCGTGTATACCATTCACAAATGTTCCCATGTTATATAGGGCCTTTTCAGCTCGTTTGAATTTTTTTCAATGTACAAGGAGATCACTATCAGCTTATTTCTATTCCTGTACTGGCCCCTAAATGTAGCAGTTCCTTCTATTGTAATGCCGCCTTCCCCCGGGTTAAAGAGAGTCTGGGAAATCTGAGTCACATATATCCAGGAAAGGCTGAAGTCAGCTCCCATGCACCATCAATATCCAGTGAGTACTTGCAGGAGGTGAGTGTCCATGCCTAACACCTCGAAAGGCCTGTAGCTTTATGTCGGGATTATAGGCCAGCAAGGACTAAAAATGAATTTGTTCCATAAAATCTAAGAGTTTCAGAGCATCATACACATTTCTGATGACTACTTAGAATGGAATTGTTATTCTTGTCTATAGAAATACACACACAATTTTAATTTATTTTGCCACAAAGAAAGGTGTTTAGCTTTATTGAATAATGGCTCCATCTAGAAAACTTTTATCATCGTCATCATCATCATCACCATAATCATTACCATCATCATCATTACCATCATCATCATTATCATCACCATCACCATCATCATCACCAGCACCATTACCACCATCATCATCATCTTCATCTTCATCATCATCATCACCATGACTGAAGTGTATTCAGTGTTTATGGTGTACTGGGACCATGACTGCAGCATTTCATGCATTATCACACTTAAGCTACACAACACCTGCCCAAGGAGGTGCCATTATTATGGCCCAAGGAGCCACCTTACACTTGGGGAAGCAGAGTCAAGGAGCTAACAAGTGTGCAGAGTTAGGACTTAAGCCATGTTTGTCTTTAGATCTCATGTCTTTAAAACTATCTCACACTTTAGGTGAAGTGAAAAAATATTAAATAAATGAGGAAGAAACAACACAAAACTGTGAGTGAGCTATACATACTGGAATTGCCTTTCAGCTGACTAATTAAAATAAAGCCACATGATAGCTAGTCTCCAGAGATGGCCCCACACATCCACCTCTTCCTATATGTGATATGGTTCTTTCCATGAAGAGATGGCACATGTGTCCCCTCCCCTTGAGTCTACCGTGTGTCTGATGGCTCAAACAAATGTAGTTCAGGGTAATTGACATCTGTGTCTTTTGAGCTTAGGCATTAAGAAGGCCTGGCATGGCTGGCTGACCTGACAAGAGTGCCAAGATAATTCAATGGGGAATGAATAGGCATTTCAACAAATGGCGCTGGGACAACTGGATAGCTGCATATAAAGCAGTGAGGTTGGACTTTTATCTCATGCTTTGTAGAAAAATTAACTCAAAATTGATCATAGAACTAAATGCAGGAGCTAAAACTATAAAATAATTAGATGAAGCCCGGCCGGGTGTGGCTCAGCAGTTGAGCATCGACCTAGGATCCAGGAGGTCACAGTTCGATTCCCGGTCAGGGCACATGCACAGGTTATAGGCTCGATCCCTAGTCAGGGGCGTGCAGGAGGCAGCCGATCAATGACGACCCTCTCATCATTGATGTTTCTCTCTCTCTCTCTC